TGATTTTGCCCACTAAGGGCACTAAGGAGAAAGTCATCCTTATTAGGATTCTTCAACAATAAATGGAAATTCTCGACTTCAGTGTCTAAAGGAGTCTGATTGTGAAAAAAATTTCGATCGAACTCAATTACGGCGGGTTGAGCATGAGTAGATACGAAAGTGGTATCGCCATCTATAATTAGGAAGCAAAATCAAAAATTACATCTAGTGGATATCCACGATGGTTTGCGTCCGCGCTTAGACTTTGATATATTTAGTGGTTGTCCATGGGATATTGAATACACCTTAAAAAAAATAATTTTAAATATCTGAACGGTACTATTAGCCACAATGGCGTAATTTTTTAATAATTTGCTATATAATTACTATTATTTATGGACATTTGCATGTCTATAAATTACATGTCATTGATATAAAATAGATATCCACCATGGACTGGACATTCAGTGGATATTGGGATGTTCAGTAGATATCCAAAGGATTTGGTGTGCTGTCTGGGTATGGGACTCTCAGCCTTGGTATCCGATATTTTTATTGCTAGACATTGATAATCACTCCTAATAAGGACTTACTTTCTTTTTGGTAGGATAACCCATCCTTTTTTCAGGAATAATTTCCATAGTTGCAGGGGTATTATTCTGTAAACTGTCATGGATATCGGATACTACGCCTAATAAATATAACTTCCGATTAAAATTGTAGTGGAATTTTCTGCGTTATTAAATCCATGTTAGAATATTTTATAGTGATTAATCATATAATTCACTAAACTGTTACAGATTAGATATAGCGCAAATAGCTGAACCTAAAATTACACAATATTTTCGGGTAAAAAGATGTTTTAGAAGTTTTTTGGGTTTAAGACCAGATGTGCTAAAATAAGAAAACACGTGGGACATAAATGTATTGTCGAAACCAAGTCGAAACCTTACCAATAAATTAGCAGTGCTATTGGTCTTATATATTGGTTAGCACATTCAAATTTTATAGCCATAGAGACACAGAATTGTCAGAAAAGAACAAGAACTTCAGATAAAGGTAACGAAAAAAGTAAAGATATCAGCTAACAATAGAGTTTGTCCCATGTTAAATCTTCCGTTTTCTTTTATATAAACCCAGGTATTTGCGTAGCAACAACCTTGTTAAAGTATATAGAAAAAATTGAAGACCTAAGGAGTAATTGTGGTAGCCTCTGTTCATTATAATTGGGAAGCCACATCATGCTGCCTCTACGCAGACCATCAGCTGATAGATGAAGTTCATTTTGAGTAATTGATATGGAGCAATTTTCCTCTTAGAGCAAATGACATATCTCTACATCTTAAGTTTTCTAGAAAGTGGGTCAATTATGATAATTTTTTAACTTGGAATCAGTTAGATATAAATAAAATGTTTTATCGTATTTTTTGTTGCAACATGCTTTAAACAGCGACAATATATCTTATTTACGACACGAGGCAGAAATATAATTATAAGATCAAACGAACTTACCTGAAGGGAAGTTCGATCTTAATCCCTAACCCACCCAATATTTCTAAAGTCCCCGTTAAGTTAAATTGCAACAAGTATGCTATGAAATGACTAAAGCAAAGTATATTGGGATGGAGGGGTTTAGCAAAGAAGGGAATATATCAAATAGTTCCAGCTTTCAACTATGTGGTCGAATCGAAGCATATACAGGGGTCGACAATATATCTTATTTACTTCGACGAGGCATCATATAATTAAGATCGAACTTCACTTCAGGTAAGAAGTTCGTTTGATCTTTTAATTATTAGTTCATATTAATTAATAGTTTTATTTATCTGCACAATTATTTTACCACAGGTTTTCTTTTTGTTACGAATTCGAAGACATTTTGATAATTCGGATAGGGCCCGGTCTCAATTAATCTGAATTAACAACGCTCTACTGTATTTTGATTACTGTTCAGAAAAAAATTGTAAGTAGGTAATGATCTTTAATAATAAACAATTCTTGATCACGATTGTTCATTTTATTTTGTATTTAAAAAAAGCAATAAACATTATATCTAATATTTTTTGAACCTAAGGTTATTTTCCTTTTATCGTCCTAGGAAAGTGTTTTTAATTTCGACAAAACACTTTTATAATTATTCAATAATGCATATAAAAAACGAATCCAAAAACCAGACATATCTTGATTGAACCTCCATAGTCAGATTTCTGGTTTTACATTTTTTGATGAAATTAGTTTGTGGTCGTAGGAAAAATATCGTATATTTCTTGTCTTAAAACTAATTTTTCTACACTCCTAATGTAATGTACTATATTTTGACAGTTTTTCAGATGTTTTACGTTTTTCCTTTTTAATTCCGTTTTATGGAGAAGGCGATATATAGCTGCTAGCCATTGCATCGGGATAAAAAGTGCTACTTCAGTCCCATGGTTAAATACCCTATTTTATGTACTTTAGGAAAAGAAAAACTAAAAAGAAATATGAAAAGCCACTTAATGATACTCTTAATACAGCAATGAGGATGTCAGTGCAAGGTTATTTGAACTTTATACGGTATTTTCCGTAGGGAGTAAAAATGCCATTTTTATCCCTAAATTGCATAAATTAGTTTTATTGGGAATGTTTCTGTACAAAATCAATTTTCAAATTTTTCATCAGTTATAATTTTAAAAATAAAACGGGGCAGATCGCTACACCAGAACGGTGACTGAAGTATAGCCGCCATCCACGGGACGACCTGTATCCCTGCAAAAATTCACAGACTAGAAATCTATCCAGTATGTAAGCCAAGCGTTACCAGGGCTCGTATATTTTCCTTACTCATTAGTTTAAGGCACGAATTTTTTTAAGTCCATGAAACAAACCCATTACATTCTGTTGCGAAAATGAAAATTTGCTACAACTAGTGTCATCTGTTATGTGGGACGAATATGAAGTAAAAATAATGTTCCTACCGTTATCTTGCGGACAGTAGTTGTATCTCAATAAATAGATATCTATTCAAGGACTAAACTAAACAGGATAACCTAGTTTCTCAAATCTGTTAGTTAAAGTGCAATATTGCCAAATGTTGATTTGTGACATCACCGTAGAACCTCTTACACGATAAATGTACCTATTAATGCCGCGTTTGAGAATCCACATCGGATGCATTTTTTACATCTCGAGCGTTTTTTTATCCACATCGGACACATCTGTCCCATTACATTTACGTATACAGAATCACATCTCAGATGCATCCGATGTAGGGATGTGCAAATTTTTTAAAACATCGATGTCGACATCAAATGATACATCGAATACCGACTATCGATATTGTAAAAAAAATCGTAAGATTTTTCTAAATATCGATGTTTGTTTTTCCATATAATACGTGTGTCTTTTTTTCCACCGGTTTGTTGCAACCGTTGTTTCACCGATGCGGCCTTGAACGTTTTGTGTTGGATTCTGGTCAAATTCTGGTTGACCGTTGAAATAAATAACAGTTGACATACCGCACCGATGCCAACGTTGCTGCAACAGTTGGATAAAAAGACACACGTATCGATTTGTCTGTAAACATCGATGTTTTCCAAAAACGTTCATTGAAGAGCAGAAAAAAGGAATTCAAACCATCAATAATTGAAACGTGACGCTTAACAAAAACCATTGAAAAGAAAATCATCGATGTTAATTGAAAAATCGATGTTAACAAATAACATCGAATAAAAAACATCGATGTTAAACATAGATAATTATAATCGAAACCTAAAAATCGATGTTTTTTAAACATAGATACATCGTGCGCATCCCTAATCCGATGTGGATTCTCAATACAGTGATGCCATTGCTACCGATTAATCGGTAGATCTACCGATTTTGATATTAATCTATACAAACCTACCGATATACCGATTTTTAAGGCAATCACCGATTTTTCAATTAATCTTAGATTATTATACAAACATTCACTTAACATTGCACAGTACCTATTCTTAACTACATATATTTTGTATTTTTTGATAAACTTTCTTAAGAAGTGATGCCATTGCTACCAATTAATCTGCAGATATACCGATTTTGATATTTTGTACCAAATCTAACTATATATTTTGTATTTTTTGAGAAACTTAAATATTTGTTAAATATCACTTATTAAAATAATATGCATTAAAAGTAAAACAAACTATCGACTTTCCACCATTCTTTACAGTACTCTGTACATAGACTAGCAATGAGGGATCGGGGAAACACAAGAAACGAAGTTATAAATAAAATAGGGGAATTTTAGGAAGTAAAAAATAATTCCTAATTCGATAGTTTTACAGTATGCAGTTAGAGTTTTCTAATATTAAAATTTTGTAGAAAATGTCTATTATTTAATTTTTTCTTTTAAAAATATTAATTATATAATGGGTTTTGTTTCTCAATTTCTACGATTAAAATTTAATGTTTTTTTTAAATGTTAGTTATAAGTGTTTTAAAATTTTTTTGTTACTTTTTAATATTAGAAACTTTGTTTTCTACAAATTTCGTTTGTTTTTTGAAATCTACCGTTTTCTGCTGAGATCTACCGATTTTTTTCGATAATTCTACCGATTTTCGGTTGACAGGGCCTTCTCAAACGCCGCATTAAAATAAAAGTAAGCAAAATCCAACGGAGATTTTATTTTTAACATCTTTAAAAAACAATACGAAAATTTTTATTTACCCTATAACACTTATATTGGAAATTTTACAAATTTGATACTTGATTATGGATTTCTAAGTGATGTAATCTTTATTTTAAATGAAAGTTCAACTTTTTTCTATTTGTAGTACATATTTGGTATTTAGTTCTACGGCGACGTCACAAAAATAAGCAATTGATTTGTTATCAAAATACATAGCAAATAATCTATCCTAATAGCCTAATAATCCTTGGCATCTATTACATCCATATACAACTTTGCCAATTTATTCACATTTCTCCATTGTAGACGATTTCTTATTAAAATTTGATTGATCATTTTTAATAAAACAAATAAATCTGAAAAAATATTTTATTTTTTTGTAATCTTAACACTATTAAAACTGATGCTCGCCACATTATCAACAATTTCCACTGATTTTCCTGAATCTGAAGTATCAGAATCCGATAGAGTAATGATTGTATCAGAAACGTCATTTATTTTTCGAATACTAAGGTCTTCACTCTCTGATGAACAACTTGTGTCCATATCTTCTTGAGTTTGTTGCGTTTTTGTACATATTCTTTGGTTAAATGAGGAGTTTGAACTTAAACTACTACTACTATTATTACCTATGTTTTTGGATAAAATCTCCCTTATTTGCTGAAAAGGGCTCTTCGTTTGATTGAATGATCTTTGTCTAGATTTTTGACTGGAAGAATGTGGTATTGCACTAAAATACAGTAGAAAGAGTGGAACATTATAAAAATTGTTTATTGACTGGGTAAAACAAAATTAACACACACCTTGTTTGTATCTCTTTAGCATCACAGCTTTGTGTAGTTTTATCAGCATTTTCTTCTTCTGAGGGCTTCACAAACTCAATCCTGTTAGTTAAAATCTCTCTAATATATTCAATAGGTAATTTCTTCCTCACTAGCACTTTCTTTGGTCTATATACCTTGTTCTTTTCCTTTTCTATGGCTTTGACATATTCTTGCTTTTCTGTAACTCTATCAAATCATTATTATTTGAAACGTTTTGTTTATACAATGTTGTTCACCTTTTATTCGAGGATACCAAGTTGTTGACGGTGCGTTGAAAAAATTGTAAATTGGGTCTAACTCGTGGTTTTTCTAAAAGGCCTTCTCTAGCTTTGCTGTCCCTTATTAGTGCATTGACTACTTCACTAAAACAAGTTTTTAGAATTTCGTGTCCAAATAAACATATTTAGGTACTTACTCGTCTGAAACTAGAGACTTATAGTAATCGAGTTCATCCATTTTATTAAATTAAAATTCGAAATGTATAGGTACTTAGGTATTTTCCAAAATAGTAGTATAATGTTTTTGATGTGAAATCTGATATATACTTAATATTAAATAATGGAAGAAGGCACAAAACCAAAGAGCTTATTCAAAACCATGACAAAACCTTAACTCACAACAAACTTTGGAAAGTTTTTTATTTTCACAACAATCAACATTATCAACAACAATGCCAAAAATATATATGTCATTTAATTTGATTTTTTTCATTTTAATGTTGGCAGTAACAACCGATGATATATATTTATATAGAATGCCAAAATTAAAAATTATTTAAATTTTTAAATTTTTATCTTTGTTAAATGTATTTTTTTATGATATATTAATAAGAAATGTTTCTAAAAACTCTAGAAAATCTATTGGGCCATTTAAAAATTGTAAAAGGGATGAAAATTAAATAATAAATTAAATAGAACATTGAAAATAGGTATGAGCACTTACATTTTTACATTAACAATGGGGTCTATTCTGTAACAATTTCTTTATATTTTAACGGCCGTTAAAATATTGGCGACCTTCAAAAATATTTTCGTATTCACTAACTTAATTCTGTCAATATTTAAACGGATTCCTTTAAAATAGTCCTAAAATAACAATCATTTTTAACGGTTTTGAATTGAAAATTAAGGATTTGTATGGTTATGTTTTCAAACTAGTTCAAATAAATCTTAAATGCGATGTTATCAAGTGTTCTCCTGCTATTTGTAAGGGAATCCGTTAAAATAAATAATTTTTAACAGGCCTCTAAAATTTGTGTATACCATTTTTGGTTAAAAAAATTAACGGGCCGCTAAAAGTTTAATTTTTGAAGGCCTTTAAATTTTAACGGATGTGTTACAGAATGTCATTTTATTCTTAGTTTAGAAATTTTAACTTCGTTTAACACAATGGTGGAATCGGCCCTTATAGCAGCAGTAAGCAACATATGCTTAGTTTGGATAACTCACTCCACGTACGTAGAGAGACTTTGTCGCACTCTGTCGCGTTCAAATTATACTTAGGGTATAGTCCGTTATTAACCGAAATATCGGTTACTCGGTCCAAAACTAACCGCTCTACTTGACATTCCTGAAAAATCGGTTAATTTAGGGATGCGGTTACCTGAAAAATGGTGACTTAAACGTCAATTTACTAACCGCTATATTTTTCAATGAACTGGAGTGGGGTAGAAAGCCAATGTGCATATTGTATCATAGAAAAACTAAAAAGTATTGTATCAATAAAACAAGATGCGACTCTATGGGCGCAGCCATTTTTATTTCTCATCTCACTCGGGAGTATTTATAATAACCATTTTCTGTTTCACATTGTTATTGTTCAATCCACAAGCTGGTGGATCAGACAATAACAAAGTGAAATAGAAAATGGTTGTTATAAATACTCCCGAGTGAGATGAAAAATAACCTGTCTTTGCCCATAGAGTCGCATCTCAAGCCTATTGACAAGCATTCTACCCCACTCCAGTTCATTGATATTTTTACGGTTACTATTAAGTCGAATGTCAATCTTTCACAAAAGTGACGTAAATCTCGGCCGTGGTCCAAAAGTAACCAAGAAATTAGTTTTTTTCAGGAACCGCTGCCAAAAAATCCTGGTTACTAGCGGTTAGTAGTCGGTTAATAACGGACCATACCCTTATCAAGAGAGAGCCACGTAAACTCTTTTACGTTCAAATAGGACGCAGCAGAGTACATGGAGTAAATTATTCTACACCATCTCGGCCAGGGGGTCGATTCTCGACTTGTAGGAACCTTTTCCTATAGGAATTTGTGACAGTTTCCTATATGTAGGAAAATGAATTTTTGACATTTTTATGTACATCGAAAATTTATGAAATTTTCCTACATATAAGAAAGTGTCACAAATTCCTATAGGAAAAGGTTTCTACGTCTTTAAATAAGACGCCTTTAAGACGACTTATTAATAGCTTATAATGGCCGTGTGAAGCCTTAAATAAGACGTCTTATTATTGGCTTATAATGGTCTTGTGAAGCTTTAAATAAGCCATAAATAAGACGTCTTTAAGTAGACTTATTAATAGCTTATAATGATCTTGTGAAGCCATAAATAAGACGTCTTTAAGATAATTGGCGAATATCTGAATTAAATTTTATATTAAGATGTTTACTTTTAAATTAATTTAATTATTCTTAGAAGAAATGGGATATTAATGATATATACATAGATATAAACAAATATTCATTTATTACCTGTATTCCAGGAACGTGCTACATCGGTAACAGAAACTATTCTTCCCTCTCATATTATTTAAGTAGAAAGAGACACAAATGCTCAAAATAACCCAATGTCGCTTTTGGTGGCTATAATCTCAGAGTAAGTTCTAAGGCTATAATCGTGTACGCAATAAAATAATCAATGATCCACAATGAGCTTGAGTTATACAAATTTTTGGTTTGGGCTTGAATGTACTTCTTGTTTTCTTCGTTTTATATGGGCTCAATCTTTTAACTTTTCTACTGCACTTGATATTTGATTTCAATATTCTTCTCCAAATATTACACTGAATATTTTGTTTAATTTTGTATACTTTTTAAAGTCGGGTGGTCACTTTATACTAGATATTTTGTGATTTTTATGGAACTTCTGGGCTCCCGATTTGGAGACCGCCATTTCAATGTTGCCACGACGGTGTCCGAATCGGAAGCAGAGACAACTACTAGTTGTCTCTGATCGGAAGTCCGGCTTGAATGTAATGTTAAGTCAAACGTCAAACTTTACTTTATTTGGTATTTTAAAATGTTCAATATCTAGTGACCTTTAGTAAAATTTTAGTAACATCTATCTGTTATAAAAATCGTTTAATCTCTTAATATTTTTTGACTATATGGAAACTCAACTTTACAACACAAACAAAATATGTTTTCAAAATACCTAACATAATATCGTGTCTAAGTAAAAATTAAGGTAATTTTGTTTATAAATATTCACATGCTGAAATTTTACTTTAAAACATTTGGGCCAGAACGGTTCTGTTCTTTTATAGCGGTAGTCTTATTTGTATGGCTGAGCAATCTATATAACTATAAACATCATTGATAAAAACTAAACGAAAAATACTTTTGGTACATTCATTCATTTTAAAACATAAACTATAAAAAAATTAATATTATGTTGTTTTTATTTATTTATTTATATCATCTAGAAACTGCTCTTTATTTAAAAAAAAAATTAGGATCTGTTAAGACGAAAAGTATTTCTATTACTCGATAGATGGCAATATCGAATAAATCAAAAAATCCTAAATTATGTTGTTTATTTTTATATGAATGGTTGCGCAATTCAATTATTTGATATGATGATTTTTGATATATCAAATAAAAAACATAATAGTTAAGTCACAGTGATTAATAAATATATTATAGAACTAAATTGAAATTGCCAGTTTCATTATAAATTGAGTATGGGAACAAATAGCAGCACTTACGTCATATTTGCTCAACCTTTTCCATTACCAATAAATATTGATCATGGAACTACTCCTGAAAAAAAATTTTGTTTATTTCAAGGTTGACATTTGACACATCCTGTCTGACGCATTTTTGAATTTTGCTCCGTTTTCATTGAATTTTTCAAAAAATATAGACAATAATAATGGCTGTAAGTATTGATTTACTTTAAAAACAACTATATTAATTGCATTAATTATTAAATACATTTTGATTCCGATATATTACAAATTTAGCAAAAAGATAACCTAAAATATAATTTTGTTTTTGAAATTTTATCACGTTTTCAGGCTGCAGCGGCTGCTAAAATCGCCGAAGTCCGAGAGACGACACGCGTGGAAAGAATTGGGGCCCACTCTCATATCAGAGGATTAGGTTTAGACGACAGTCTAGAAGCCAGACATGTAAAAATTAATCAAAATCATACAATTATCGAAAAATATTGTTTGTTTTTATTTTTTTTAGGTTTCCCAAGGTATGGTGGGTCAAGTTTCTGCTAGGAGAGCAGTGGGAATCGTCCTTCATATGGTACGTGAAGGCAGAATTGCTGGTAGAGCAGTCTTATTGGCAGGACAGCCAGGTAAGTGATACAAACATTAATATTAATTGGTTTTTTTGACCACCAAAAACTGATTATTGATTAAACAGTAGTTGCTATGAGTTATTTGTTTGTTAAATAGATTGGTAACTATTTGTACAGGGTGAACATTATCTTGGAAAATAAATATTTTAGGGACTGGCAAAACGGCTATAGCAACAGCTTTGGCGCATGCTTTGGGACAAGACACGCCGTTTACCAGTATGGCAGGATCTGAAATATATTCGTTGGAAATGAGCAAAACTGAAGCTATAACGCAAGCTATCAGAAAAAGTATTGGTGTTAGAATCAAGTAAGTTTAAAATATGTCATTTTTAATTTTTTAGACTACCATTGTTTTGTCTAAAAATTTAACTAATTTAATAATATATGCACATTAGCTAAAGTTGGTCCAAAATTTAGTTTTTCTTAAATTGGCCAATACCATGTTTAATATTTACAAAAATTAGTGGATTATTTTGTGAAAAAGGAAAAAAAAGGTGTGTTATATTCTTTATAAGAAATTAAAACTGTTATTTCCTACAATTTATGTAATAAACTTTTTTTTGTAAAAATCAATAGTTTTGGCTTACGAGTGCCTCAAATGTAATTCAACACACATTTTGGCAAAAAAAAACTCATTTCCAGGTAGAGTATGCGGCGCGTTTTTTTATCGTGGTATTCCCAGTAAGCCTAATCCACATGCAATTCACTATTCCAAATATCATCACATTTTCCTGAACTTCACTGTTCTTTATGAATCATGTGTTGTGAGTTCATTGTCTTTAGTACCGGTTGAAATGTCACAAACCGAAATTTCTTCCACATAATGGAAAGCATTGAATTCCTTTAACAAAAATGCTGTAAACATAGTCCTGGAAAATAAAACTGTAGGGTAGTAAACTTATTGCAAATGAATTAAACACGGTCTTCATTAAAATTGATTCAGAATTAGCACAGAAAATATCTCAAACTAATATGATTTCACCAAGTTATTTAAAAGAACTGTATTTAAGTTAGAAACCACAACTCCCCATGAAATTAAAAATAACATTGAAAAAATGAAATCTAGAAAGACATGTAGAAAAGTCACAATATCAGTAGAGATATCTACTTAAAGAATTCAAGAATGAAATTGTTCAAATATTTAAGTGAGTACACTATAAAGTTATATCTTTATCTCTTCATCTCTAAAGTTAAAGGTATGAATAAGAGAATCACTCAAACATCAAAATTCTCCATCCTACCAGTTTTAAAGGACATTTTAAAAATGTTTTGCTCAATGGGTTTTTAGCAATGTACAACTGTGATATATTCTCTTTCTTTCTTTCTTTCTTTCTTTCTTTCTTTCTTTCTTTCTTTTTACCTGATCTTTTTGCAGAATACTTTCAGTCAGTATATACTGATAAGAATATTGATCCTCAAAGTAAACCGTCACTTAATCACATTTATATATCTGAGTATGTTATTCCTATATCAACCATTTATGAAGAGATGGCTAGTATTTACATTACCAAGGGACCAGGACCTGATGGTATCCCCCCTTCTGTTCTCAGATTTTGTAGTTTTGTTCTCTCACAGCCACTTCACATTATATTTAATAAGTCTCCTGCTTCGGGCATATTCCCAGATTTCTGGAAAGTGAGCTATCTTACACCTATTTTCAAGTGTAGTAACAGAGCAGACATATCCAACTATAGACCTATCTGTAATCTTAGTTACATTCCAAAGTTGTTTGAAAAGATAGTAGTTGATCACTTAAGATCTAAATTAAGTTTATCAATAATAGAAGAACAATTTGGGTTTCTTAACAAAAAATCACAGAACTGAATTTACTTGCTTTTTTTGACTATCTGTCGGACGTCTTGGATGGAGGTGGTGAGGTGCATGCCATATACACAGACTTTTCCAAGGCGTTCAACATTTTTTTTTTACATACATTACAATTCCTCCTGTATATCGACTTTTGGAGTCACAGCTGATACATTTGCAATTTTCTATATATTTATTTCATTATTTTCAATATCTGTTGTTGTTCTAGTTTCACTTAGTAACAATACTTTGGGATTAAAGCAAATTAGGCTATCAGATATTTGATCAAAATTACTAATTAAACTTTGAGCATTGACATAAATAATATCAGAATTTAATGGTATATTAGGTTTCTCAATTAGTTTTTTTTTATTGTAATTATTATTGTCAACAATAGTTGGCTTGTCATTAATATATTTGATAGTTTTATTAGTTTCACCATTCTCAATGAGAGTTTGTAATTCAATTTTAATCTTTTTTAAGTATTCTCGCTGGGCATTTGTCTGGTCAGAATAAATTTTCACACTAGATTTTTGTTTTTTAAAATCAGTTTAACGGGTCTTATTTTTGACGGAAGGAACTTTCCCATTCTAAAAGATTGAATTTTACTTTTATCAATATAAAAATCCTATAAGATTTCTTGAATGGTAGTACAATCTTCAACATTACGTTCTTGATTAGACGTCATTTTAGATTCAATAATATTGTATACAATAATATTTGAGGCTCTTCTTTGCCTATCCATCATTTCACTGATCAACTCCTCTCATTATCATTATATGTAGGAGTAATCCTGTAAACCCTCTGTGTGTTGACTTTTGACAACTGTCGCACATCAAAACAGGGCTCCATTACTTATATATACATATACAAACTATTGGTACAAGGCTTATCGATCTATAGTTATTTGGGTCAAGCTTATTATCCTTTTTGAATATGGCAGTCACTGACGCAGTCTTCCATATAGATGACAAGCTGTGATAATTAAAGGAGGAAGCCATTATACGGGAAATAGGATAACAGCACAAGATTTTAAAAGAAAAGAGGAGATACCATCTAAGCCTGGCGAAGAGTTGGACTTAAGCATTTTAAGTTTGTTTTTTATTATGTCTGGGTCAACCGATACGTTGGAAATAGAGGCCTGTATTCTGTTTAGTGAAATATCCGGAAGTGGTGATGTCATATCTTCAAGCGTGAATACATTACAGAAGGTGTCAGAAATAAATTGAGCAGATTCAGTATTGTTGGCACTTATCTCCCTTTTCTTTTTGTAGAAGAGGTACGGACACCTTGGATGTCAGATTTGTTCTAACATATTTATAGAACTTTTTGCTATCAGCACAATTGGTGATGTACTCCTGATAGTTACGCTTTGCTTCAATAACTGGCGGCCTTTAGTTGATTGAAGGATAGTCGATGAGCAGAGAAATCGTTCATATTGGTGGTTCGCTTAATTTTTTTCATAGGTATTTCTTATGTTTTACCATAGACAGCAGTTGATTATTTATCCAGGGTTTCAGATTTGTTCTTCTGTTTATTTTGTTTTTAGTATAAGATTTTACACTGTATTTTAAAAGATATTCCACATGCAGCTCGGATCATTGTTTTCAGGGATAATATTAATCCAGTCTAGTTGGTCTAGATAGAAAAAAACTTCAGCAAAGTTTGTGAGTGAGGAGATAGTGTGATTGGATGTGCAAAAAGAGAATTATTGAAATTGTAAACAACACGTTATGACTGCATGATCAGATATTCCAACTGGTGGGCGATACACCAGTGGGGTTAAGAGTTGTTCATCATTGGTAAGTAGTAGATCGAGGGTAGAAGGTTCCTGATTTAGTCTAAATCTCGTGGGTTGGGTTATTAGTTGAACAAAACTAGAATTGTGGATAAATTCCATGAACTGATTGGTAACATTTTGCGTGTCAGGTATAGAAGTAATTGGCCATTTAATGTCTGGAAAATTGAAATAAAATTTTCAGAACCACTTAGGACATCGAGTTTGTCTAGCAGAGCCGCGTCAGTAGCAACAGGTGTGTCTGGCGGACGGTAAATAACTGCAAGAGTAATACGGCAATTGAGATGTTGCAGCTGTAAACAAAGAGAATCAATACGAGGAACTGAGATATCTGCAGATGAGATTGTAAAACAGTCTAAGATATGTTGAGCTACATATATACATACTCCCCCTCCTCGTCTCTCAATTCGATCAAATCTAAAAATCTGGTAATTAGGAATAGAGATTAAGCTGTCTGGAAATCAAATATACCACGGATTTATTTTTTAAGCTCATTAATTATACGGGTGCCCTACATTGATTTCAAGCATGTTGTTGGCAGCCCCAACTAGAAGCACAAGATCGATAAACAGTTTTCATCAGCCCTAAATGAGAACTAATACTATCCTCAATTCATTCATGTCTAGAGTTTCACGAAGCGCTAATGCTTGTGCTGATAGTCTAGAATTTTTTAATTCAAGATTTTCTAATTTTGTGAGGGCGTTAAAACTTACTGTGACTTAAATTCCCTAGTCTTAATATTAGTTGTTTCGATTTTGTACATGTTAATATATTTATGATTTTTGTTGTTAGTTAATTAGTTTATTATTATTATGTCATATTATTTAGATTGACTCTATTTGAGGTTTTTTTTGTTTTTATTGTAACTTTGTACTGAAAGTAGGCAAGGCCTGTGAATAAATAAATAAAATAAAATTATACATCCACTTTTTATTGATTAATGTAAGTTATTTTTCATCACTCAGTTATTTTTAACCAATGAAAAAATCTAATGTCATTACTTAACTATTTGACGAGTATTTGACTAGTAGAAATATAAGTGCTACTGTTGATTTGGATTCAAAACTCTAAAATTGCTTGTACCATGATGTTGGCACCTGGTGGCGAAACTTCACTTCCTAGGCTTGATTAATTTGGTTTATCCTCATTAATTTTTTAGAGAGGAGAGCGAAATCATCGAAGGAGAAGTCGTCGAAGTGAGCATCGACAGACCAGCTACGGGGGTCGGCACGAAAGTTGGAAAATTAATTTTGAAAACCACCGATATGGAGACCGTTTATGACCTGGGCGGTAAAATGATCGATAGTATTTTAAAGGAAAAAGTCCAATCGGGCGACGTCATAACCATCGATAAAGCCACGGGAAAAATTACGCGATTGGGTAGATCTTTCGCCAGAGCCAGAGATTACGACGCGACAGGTCAACAGACCAGGTTCGTTCAATGCCCCGAAGGGGAATTGCAAAAAAGGAAGGAAGTCGTGCATACGGTGACGCTTCACGAGATCGACGTCATCAATAGTCGTACGCACGGATTTCTCGCCCTATTTTCAGGTAGGAACGTTTTCATTTTCGGCACATCTATTTAATTCGCCGTTCTTTAAATTTATTCATCAATCTTTCAGGCGACACCGGCGAAATTAAACCGGAAGTAAGAGAACAAATTAACGGAAAAGTGGCGGAATGGCGGGAAGAGGGCAAAGCGGAAATAATACCGGGTGTCCTTTTTATCGATGAGGTAACGTTTTTTTTTTTAATATAAGCAAAATAATTAGCGAAAAAAATTGTAGCCTGCCAGATTTCCCGATTTAACACCTATTGAATTTTTTATTTACTTAGTATTGGAGGTAGATGCAACGTTTTTTAAATAAAAGTAAAATAATTAAAGAAATTAATAGCGTGTTATATTTAACGATTTAACACCAATTGAATAATTTTATTAGCTTAATATTTGAGGTAAATGTAACGCTTTTCTAAATAAAAATAAAATTATTAGCAAAAAATAGTAGCCTGCCAGATTTCCAGATTTAAAACCCATTGAATATTTTTTATTAGCCTAATGTTGGAGGTAAATGTAATTTTTTTTCTAAATATAAGTTAAATCGTAAGAAAAAAATTGTAGTCTGCTAGATTTCCCGATTTACACCTATTGATTTTTTTATTAGTTAGTAATTTCGGCAAATGTATCGGTTTACTAAATTAAAATAAAATAATTAGAAAAAATTTGTAGCCTGATAGATTTTCCGATTTAATGCCCATTGAATTTTAATAATTTGCTTAATATTGGAAGAAAATAACGTGTTTCTAAATAAAAGAAAAAATGTAATGTCTCTTAAGTTCCCTATTTAACACCTATTGAATATTTTTATTATACTAGTATTTGGAGAAATGCAACGTTTTTCTAAATAAAAATAAAATAATTAGCCAAAAATAGTAGCATGTCAGATTTCCTGATTCAACGTCTATTGATTTTTTTTTTAATTAACTTAGTATTGGAGGTAAATGTAATGTTTTTCCAAATAAAGTAAAATAATTATCAAAAAAATAATAACCTACCCTATTTCCAATTTTAACACCTATTGATTCTTTTTATTGTCTTAATGTTGGAGATAAATGTAATTTTTTTCTAAATAAGTTAAATCTTTAAAAAAATTATTGCCAGATTCCCGATTTAACACCTATTGATTTTTTTTAGCTTAGTAATTTCGATAAATATATCGTTTTTCTAAATTAAAGTAAAATCATTAGCAAAGAAAACATTTGTAGCCTGCAAGATTTTCTGATTTAACGCCCAATGAATTTTATTAATTTGCTTAGTATTGAAAATAAATAACGTTTTTCCAAATAAAATAAAATTAATTAGCAAAGAGAAAATGTAATGTGCCATATTTCCCTATATAACACAAAAAAAAATAAGTAGTATGTCAGATTTCCTGATTTAACATCTATTGATTTTTTTTTATTAGCTTAGTATTGGTTTAGCAGTCAGTGTTACTAAAACGTTATTCAACTTGTGATACAAACTTTTTCCTGCTTGACGTAGTCCATTCGGGACTTTCTTTAGAAGACATACTTTGTTACCTTCAAGAAGTTGATTCAGCTTTTATGTCGCCTTTTTGATAACACTAGAATCCTTTATCTATAATTTCTGTGATTACTTGAAAATATCTTCCTCACTTTCTCCATTTATGTAAGCACATGTAATATCAAATTGTCCAATATTCATCTTGAATCGAGTAGCTAAGGCTATTAGAAGTCTGATTGAACCTATGAAATGTACTCCAGATTACTAACTAAAGCCTTGCGCCACAAGACGTTCTTTCCTTCTTTCCAGGGTACCACCAACTTTAAATTTATTACATAGAATCAATTGACAACCTAATATTTGTTGATCATTTGAACGGTCAGTGAGTTGTATTTCTTCTGCAATGGCATGCAACCACTCACTAGAATCAGGTCCAGACATGGCTAATTTCATAGGAATTTCTTTATACAAATTTGATTCTTCTACCATATTATATAATTTTCGAGGTCTTCCCCTAGTTCCTAACCTATCTAGTCTTGGTCTACTTTGTCCTGTCCTCTTCATTCTAATTTTCTGATCGATTTTCAACATCTCTACAAATCTCTAGGATGAAATTTTCTTCATTTTCTCTATTTTTTCTCTCTAAATGTACTACTTCTACGGTTTTAGTTATAGTTTCAATTTCATTTGGAATAAAATCTTCAAATTTTTCAAAGGGCTGCCTGACAATGATAAGTCTCTTATCTCTAAAAGAGTAGCATAACTTTGGCTGTTACTTGAGCCTGTAAGACTGTTGTTAATAACTGCAGGTTCAGACTAATGGTCCTCCTGGTTTTGTATTTCCCTATTTTCCCAGCTTTTAGCCCTGTCTGATATTTGAATATCTAAAAGGTTTCCTAAATTCATGAATAGTAGGTGTTCTATACGATGACATTCTTAACACCAGATTATGTTTTAATTTCTCTAATATCATTGTATGGTGTTCTTTTCTCAAAAGGTCCCATCCAAATCCATTAGTGAACCTTGTATGCCGCAGCCATAGCCTCCTCCACAGCCTCGTTCACTACAATATTTAAGGGAGGAAGACCTAGCAATAGCTCCATTGCTGAAGTGGGCGTAGTTCTAAAAGCACTAGCTCCATAATTTCACGTCTAGGAAAGTGTGATCTTAGTAATAAATCTAAAGTCTCCTCTCTGTGTTTATACTTCTCCTTGTTGATTTTTCAGAGATCCCATGCCATCCTTACTTATTTTTCTGTAGAGTTTTCCTGAGTCTCGAACATTCTGGAAAACTTTCAAGGCCGCCACAGAATTTCGTCCAGGAATTTACTTTAGCTTTCCTAATGACATAACCATATTCTCTTCGGTACGCCTTATGTTCTCCGAACTTTTGGACAGGTTAAAGAGTTTACGAACTTTACTCCTTTTTTAGAAAGGTCTCCACCATACAGCATCTTGATCTTCTTTCCTTATTTTTATAAAGCAGTTTTTTTCAAAAGGTTTGTGTCAAATATTCTGACATAAAACTAACTTCCACTGAATTATTCGGTGTTGGAAGAAAGTCATCCAGTCCCTGCTCGAGTTCCTCCTTGAAGGCCCCCCTGTTACAGTTCCTAGGATTACGATATGTCTTCTCACTCGAAGTTTCTGTACCCAGATTAAACAAGATATGCAAATGTTTGGAAAGTGAGGATTCTTTTGAGACGTGTCACTTCTCCACCAATGATGTTACGAAGGTTGGTTCATTTCCAACATTTGTCACTTTTAATTTATTGGAAGCAATACATTCTAGAAGAGCTTCTCCTCGGTTATTAATGTCACTGCTTCCCCATACTATATAGTGAGCATTCTCATCACACCCTAGGAGAAGGTCGATTTTGTTTTTTTCACAGTGACTAACCAGTTCTCTCACTTCATTGGTGGGGGAGCCCAGGCTGGTCATATGACATATAGACGGATACAGCAATCAAATTAGTTTCTCTATCTAGCTTGAGGTATACTGTCACTAGATCATTTATACAAAGTCCCCTGATATATGCAACCATCTAATTCGCCCCTTGTGTACAAAAGGTTCTTGAATTAGGGCAAGATTAATGTCTTTTCTTATATACATCGTTATAGGATAGCCTAACAGTAATGTATATTTGCTTGAATTCCTTTTTTTTAAAGGCACCCGTTAGTTCTTGATATAGGGCCCTCCTCCGGCACCGTAGCCTGGTGAGAGCGGTGAGTCCCCTAAAAGAGTCCTTTCCTCGTCGTCATTTAGCTCATGTGCTGTGGATTCCGATCCCCTTATTTCCATTGGAGCCTCAGCCTCTGTAGCCCCACTTTCTTGTGGTTCTACGATCAAATACTGATTCTCATCTGCTATGTGTTCTCCCTAATTGGGAATTTCTTTTTCAGAGAAGTTTCAGGAGCAGCTGGAACAGCCCGTTCCGTCTTTCCTCCAATTTCTTTTATCAAGATATTGGAGCAATTCAGGAACAGTATTCCTTGCTTCTCCCTTATCTTATCTCAAGAGACAGAATCCATGTTAATGAAAAGTTGCTGTCCAACTTCCTTTCAGCAACTCTCCAGTTCTCCGTTTGGAGAATATGAATTCTTAGTCTCATTATTCAGTATGGTTCCACTGCTGGTCTCGGTATCCATGTCATGGTAAACTTAGGTTTCATTACTTCCCCAGAGTCTATTACTTTGAGTTTAGCACCTGCTCAAGGTACTATAGTTTTAACGGTTTGCTCAACCCAATCTCTCATTATTTGGTCAACGCAAGACAGGTTTAAGCTCCCGTTTCTTGTTCCAGCTTCGAAAAACCTGGGTGAAAGTACTCATTTGTCTAGTTTTTCCAACCTTTTCGAGCAGTACAGTCCTTATTAGGTCTCTGAGATAAGATCACTGTTTCTCAATACTGGTATCGACGCTTGGCCACTTACATACACCCATGCATCATTCTTTATTAACAATGCCTCAACAGTACATTCAATTCTTGATATATTTATAGAATTCATTTTTGTAAATCAAATCCTTAGATTCCACAATTTCGATTTTCTGAGTTCTGGGCCCATAACCTGTTGAGGTTTAAATCGGATCGAAAAACTTAAGAATTGACAGTAGATAAAATGTATTTATTAACGAAATTACAAAAATATAAATATCAAGAAAATTACAATTATAATCTTGACCGAATTTTATCAAAACTATCACGGCTCGCTTGGACAGCATCCAACGTAGAAAACAGTTAGCATTTGAATGACCAAATTTTCTTCAAGGTTCACATGTTGGATATCGAATGCTTCTCGTTTCTAAATAGAGCGCTCGAAAATGAAATGTCACCGATCGTCATAATGGCTACCAATCGAGGCATCACCAAAATCAGAGGTACCACTTACAAATCTCCGCACGGTATTCCCCTAGATTTGTTGGACAGAACCATCATCGTACCGACTCAACCCTACGACGAGAAGGAATTGAGGGAAATTTTGAGGTACTCAAATGATTAATAGCGATACAAGTCGATTTTTATTGACGCAAATATTGAATTTCAGCATCCGATGCGAAGAAGAAGACTGTCAAATGTCGGACAACGCTTTGGCCGTTTTAACGAGGATCTGCAAGGAGACTTCGTTGCGATACGGTATGCAATTGATTATGACATCTAGCTTGATAGCTAGAAAACGTAAAGCTCACGAAGTCGATGTTGAAGACATAAAGAGAGCTTACACACTGTTTTACGATGAAGGAAGATCCGTGCAATTCCTCAGAGAGTACCAACAAGAATTCATGTTTAACGATCGTAAGTTTATTTTCTTCTTTTGACGAGTGGCGTTTGACAATAGGGGTTTTTAGTGATAGTTTGCGATACTATTGACAGTAGTGACAGCATAGAAGCTGAATTCGGCAGACAAGATAATTCAACTCCTCTTCTAACTTTAAGTTTAACTTTTGCGTACACTTATTTCCATTAATGACAGTTAAAACGTCTAAAAAACGACTGCAGGAGTGCGTTTAGAAACTTCGCACGGCGCGTCTGACCACATACACTAGAATAGGGTCCAGACGCGCCGTGCGAGATTTCTAAATGCACTCCAGTCTCGTTTTGTACCCCTAGAATTGCCAAATTCAGCTGACAGTTTCCTGGAATTGACTTATGACAATTGGCAGCATAAGAATGCGATGCAAACGTTTAGGAAATTAATGGTGATCAATGCGTGCGTGAATTGAAGTATATGTCGAATTTTGTACCTGCAAAATTTGTTCAAAGCCTCGGTGTCGATGAAAACTGACTTTTGACAAGTGACAGTCTGACATTGACTTATGACAGGTGACGGTTCGCTGACATTGACTTATGGCAGTGACAAATATGAGAAAATCGATAAATGAAATGATTATTCTCATAATGTATCTCTTGTTTTTTTTTAGTTGATGACAAAGATGACATGGAGGTGGAAACGAATTGATTTGTCTTGTTTTAATTTAAATTTACACTTTCCGATTCCATTATTGACTTGTTTTATATTTTTGCTTGTCTTTCTTGAAAATACACGTTTTTTTATATATATCTTGATTTTTATTAAAATTAACCTTAAAGAAAAAAATTCAAAAATGTGGTTTTATTGTCAACGAATGAGTTTAATATGATTTTAATGATGGAACATGTCATTAATAAGGTGTATTTTCAAAAAACGTTGCTGGATGTCACGTTTTTAAACATTTAAAATGCTATAATTCATAAATTGTGGATGCCACAAAAAAAAATTGTATAGAAAAGCAAGGTTTTTACCTTTCTATATCTATGGTTTTTTTAAAAGAATAGAAATAAGAAGAAATGACAGAGATAGAGCTACTCTCCAATTTAAAGGGATTTTAAATGAATTCCATAGGTAACGACTGATTATTTAAGTAGTATGTTGTCATCAGATGATTTTAATACAGATATGCTTCACGTGTCAACTAGTATTAATTGTTTTAGCTTCTGTGATTTTATTTGTTTAGTGTTGACTTATTTTTATTAATAAAATTGAAACATTTTATGCTTTACGACTTATAATGTGATACATTTATAAAAATTTCGTATGTCCATGGCGTATCGATCCATGCATATTTCAGACTGTCAGCGCCAGACCCATTTCCCTACTTAAAAACTTAGCGGACGCCTTTGAGGTACTTTTAAATTGAAGTATAGCACTACCTCTCTTATAGTTATTATCTCGCTGTTGTCTTTTATTAAGGGTTCTAGAAAACATCAAAATAAAACAACTTAATTAATTTGCTTTAAATTTATTAACAATGACTAAATTTAACCTACATCTATATCACAAATATTTTCTTTACCAAAATACACTATAACATTATTATATGTTTTAATACTAATAACATACTATCATCTTTTTATGAAATATATTTGGCAAAATATATGACTTTTATTGCTTTTTTATTAGGTAACTGCGTTTTTTTTTTTTTGTTATTCTCTGCTGATAGGTACGTGGATATGCAGGTACTGTTTAAGGTAAAGGCATTAAAGGGACATATTTTTCAGATGGTCTAAAATGGATTCGAGCACATAGCTCGTCGCCTTCATCTTTTGTGTAACCGTTTCTAAAAAGAAAATTAAAACATTAGTTTGTAGACGAACAGTGTGCTAAAACCACGGTATCTTTTTTTATTTAATTCGGTGTCATTGACATCAACTATTTATTAGTTAAAATTTGCATTTAATTTTTAACGGTTTAAATTATCCCTATTTCAGTTGTGTCTTCTTTGTTACAAGTCATTTATAAATAAAAATATAGTAAACTGTATCAAATTGAAAAGTTGTCTGTTTATTTAGTTTCTACCTATATGAAACGCTAAAAAAAGGAGACTATATACATTAGTTGGATATTGTCTAAATTGTAAAAAAATGGTTTTTAACCATATAACAACTAACAATTAACAAAACAAATGTTTAACAGTTCATGAACCTTGAAGTTCATCATTTTCAACCATGAAAAAATACGTATATTTAAAAACTAAGGAAATCATACCCTATAATTTTTAATATAATGTTAAATTGTTAATAATATGTATAGTTAACTTTAATTTCAAGGTACCTATATACTGGCAATAACCCTTTTTTAAACAACAACTTTGCGATGGTTCACTGCTGATGCATCGAATATGTTAAAAAATACCACTCTGAATTTCCAAATCACTGTTAAGCTATGAATATATCATTATTTTTCCATCGTAATCAGGGCCGGATTAGCGATTGTTGAGGCCCTAGGCTAAAAATTACTTAGGGCCCCTCCTCCTCTCCCTATCCAAAACATTCAGCATATTTTATGGTACCTAGGGTAGACATTTTTTTGATGAAGTAAAATGTGAAACAAAAATTGATAGGTTCAAAGGTATTTATTAAAATAATATCTTGATTTAAAAAAAAACCTAAAACATTTTCGCTAAAAAAAAGATTATATTATGTAATAAGGTGGTGGTGACTGGTGTGTACTCAAATAAATGCTCGTTTCCGTGATTTTAGGGTTGCAAAACTCTCAATAATATTTTCGGTAGGAATTTTATTGAGAATATCGTGTTCTCTATAGCCAATAAAGAAAGTTGATTAGTTTTTTTATCACCTAATGAATTTCTTTTATAACTTTTTATGCTTTCTAAGGTAGAAAATGATCTCTCCCCACTACAGTTAGTTACTGCCATGGATAAAAATATCCTTAATGCAATATCTACGTTTGGAAAACTACAAGTTAATTTTTTTTGTCTTATAAACTTTAACATTTTCCTTGGATTGCTAATTCCAGAATTAATTTCTGAAATGAAATATTTAAAGCGAATACATTCGGCTCCTAAACTTTGGTCTAAATCGTTTGGCTAGTGCTCCTGGAGCAAATTTGCTTGTAGTATAATATTCTCATCTGAATAATTTTCTAAATATAAAAACCCAAACTTATTTGAAACGTTAAGATAAGCAGTTTGTCGACTCTTGAGTTCCGCAAGAATGTTATCGATTATAACATAGAAAGTATTTATGAGCATATTATCTCTACCACTGAATTCAACTTCACCCTCTTTATTTTCGTCAAATTGTAGTTTTCTACTTTTTTTTCTTTTTTATCGGATTTATATGTGGAACATTTTGTAAGTTCATTGCCACATTTTTCGTAATATGCAAAACGTTCGCGTTGTTGTGAAACATGTCTAATAAGTGAATCATACAATTTGACTGCTAAAGAAACATCGATTTCAGTAGCTTGTAATGACTTGCTAACCTTATTGAACTCTGTTAAAATATCGTCCCATAATTTTAACAAAATCCCTACTTCCAATTCTTTGAACCGATTTTTAATTCCTTTTGCTTGAACTTTTGTACTATTTGTGTAATATCATTACTGCTAATGACTCTTTAAACGCAGACCGCGCAAGCAGACCATCGAGTAACAGATAATTTTTTTGGAACGAGAGCATTGGGAATTTTATTGAGCTCTTCTGTCATTATTTGCCACCTATTTGTGGATGTTGAAAAAAATTATATATTTCTTCCAAGAACATAAAAAATGAAGTGGCCATTACAACACTTAGCTGCACAAGTTCCTACCAAATTAAGAGAGTGGGCCGCACAGGGGATAAATAAGGCTAGAGGATTCCTTTTTTTAATGAGAGCTTGCAATCCTGAATATTGACCGGACATATTATTGGCATTGTCATAAGACTGCCCCCTACATTCTTGAATATTTAACTGTAACTCGTCTAATATCTTAAGAACCGCAGTTTCCATGTCAACTGCCTTATGGCCAGTATTACTAATAAAGGTAATAAAACGTTCTATAGGAGAGCCATCATATATGAAATATCTAAGAATAAAAGTAAGCTGGTCCAGGTGACTAACATCAGGCGTTGAATCCACGGAAATAGAAAAATATTTCGCCGATCTGGCTTCACTACTAATAAAATCACGAACGTGCTTTGATAAAACTCCAATAAACTCGTCACAAATAGAAGATGATAAATATGAGACATTACCGCGTCCCGGATTTCCATATTTTTGTAAGTGATTGTTCAAGAATGGATAAAATTGAGCTATTAACTCTAAAAGTCCTAAATAATTGCCGTTGTCATTTCTCCCAAACTTCTCTGTGGTACCCCTGAATGCCATACCTCGACTTGCTAAAAATTTAATTGAATCGGTCATTTTGAAAAGGGGTCACATCCACTTTTTAAAATTTTACAGGAGATAGTCCAAGAGCCCACTGCAAATTTCGACCGTCATCTGATAACGAAATGAAATATGCTTCAGAGGCATGTAAAAATATTGTACTTTACCAAACGGCACCTGTGCCTATCACTATCCTGAGCAAAATAGTTAAAACAATGGCACTTCCGGTGTCATAATTAGCGAGAAATGTCGTCATTTGATAACGAGATAAGACTTATGCCATCGGATAGCTTTTGATTAATAGAACTTAAAAATGTACCTGTGCCTCCTCTTTTCCTGAGCCAAATGCTTGGCATGGCCTATTTATTCAGCCAAAATTCTCGACAAACTTCCGTCATGTGATAACGAATTAAAACAATATGCATTCGAAGGAGCATAATGTCCCATTCAGGAATATCCGCATGTGCCACGTTTTAACCTGAGCTAAGTTGCTGGCACAGCGTAACTTCTGAGACGCGCCTCTCCCAACTAATTTATTTCATATATACAAAAAATCACATAAGCCATGACAACGAAAATTATTGGTATTGAAAATTACAATCCTAATAATTAATTGTAAACTTATTACTGAAGCTTTGGTTTGTATCGTAATTTTAAAGGCTTTTTAATAGACTTAAAATAATAGGAGGAGATATTCATATCGGTAGAATATTTAATTTTTTTGTATGTTCACTGATAAATCTATACCACGTTGTCGGATTTCTATGATTATTTTTTTGTTAGAAATGGGGACACCGGGTTAGTCATATATAAATTTGGTCAATATCTGATGATAGGATACACGAGAAAATAATGAAATTCTTCAAATAACAAAGAAAGGTTTTTAAAATTACTTTTATTAATATACAGGTTTATTATTTAACAGAATATCTTTTCAGGTATTTATTTAGATATATTTTATTACTTTTTATATTTATAAAAAAGTGTAACTACAAATTGAAAATAGAATTCAATACGACGATGATATACATAGATATTCGGAAGTTTCCCAGAAAATGTATTAACGTATACTTACTAAGGATTGTTGACTTATTTATTTTTAAGTACATACATGAAAAAATTAAATCAAATAAATATGTATACACAAACAATTTATCAATACTAAAATACATTATTAAAAAAAAATCCCGTTCGCGACAAAAAAAATTACATCTAATCCTTTCCAACAATTTCAACATTTACTCATCATCTGAATATGAAAAAACATCATTCTAATAATTTAACTTATTCATTTAGTCGTTATCGACAATATTTTCAATATACTTTAAGACACCATCGACTTTCTATGGCGTTGGGTCTCCCTTGAACCACACTGGTTCCAAACGTTCATTTAGCTCCCAACCGCATTCTTCAACATTTAATTTAGAACAATTTGCATCTGCAGTGTTTTGCCACCTTAAAATGACGTACACTGTACGCAAGATCTTTTGTTCCATAGTTCTCCAACATGGAGGAATAATACTTGAATCCAACCCTTTAATTGTTTGCATAAAATGCTCGTTTTTACCATTTTTTGGAGAAAACAGTTTTTCAAACAGTTGCAGCTAAAGAAAAAAGCTAGAGACAGATATCATGTAACGAAAGTGTTGATAAGTCAATTACAAAAAAAAAACAACAAAAAACAAAGAGAACCAAGTGGCGAAATGAAAAACAAAAGCAGAGAGAACACTTAAAACACCTTCAAGTAATACAACAAATTACTCCACCGAACTCTCTAGTGACTGCAGAGAACTCCAAATATTAATATTGTAGGAGGCAGAAAACGATCAAAACTTTATATAGATAATATGAGACTGCAAGTAGAAAATAAAAGGCTGATTAGAGAAAATTAATAAGTACAAGATGCGGGCATATCGAATCCCAAAAAGATATGACCGGCAAAGTAATTTCGTTAATTACCAATGCTTCTCCATTATCAAAAACAGCTGACAATTCATAATGCATACAGGGAATGAATAGTCCAGGTGTAGCTAAAAAAGTTAAAAAGCAATTATTTAAGTACAATGTGTTAACTCATGCTCTATCGTCTGAATATGCCAAAATAACGAATAATTCTAAAAAATTAACTTTTAAAAAGCAAGAGGATGGGGAGGTTAATGTTGTTTTTAAAAAACAACTGATAGTGGTACGAAATTCATATCGGATCAAGATGACGTATCTTACATTTCAAACGAACAAATCTTGGAAATTCTTGGAAAACCTACAATAAAATTAAACAAAATTTCAAAAAACTCATTTAAAAATCAAAAAGTGCGCTGCTAATAATAGGTTCCTTGATTTAAATATATTAGGATTATATTTTAATAATCAAAACATTCATAATATGAAATAATAAAAATGGGTATCGATTTTACCTAAAGAGGTGTTTTTCTGAAAATGACCCATTAAG